TTTTTTTTAGACATGTTACTATTAGCGGATCATTACAAGGAGTGATTGTAGGCTAACTGCAGTGTTACAGCACATAAAACAAAGACAGCTGCGCGTGCCGTTGAATAGCTGCGCGTCTAAAATTAGTGGCGTCTAATAAATATTTTCTTTAATAGATGTGTCGTTGTGAATCTACACAGCTACATATAGGCCAGGAGCTGAGTCATGCTGTGTCTGTTGCAGATGCTTATGCTCAGATTTCAGTGGCCTTTTCATGTGAGGATTTAATATTTTTGCTTCTCAGAACAGGCAGTACATTTTTGGACTTTATTAACAGCCAGTTTCATACATGAACTGCCCCGAGAACTCAAAGTCGCCTCTGCACTGAAAAAACTTTTCAGACGCTCCATTCAGTCGCATAATAAGGTTTGACAGCTCAGTCTTATCATTATGTTTGCGTCTGTCTGTTCCAGCCTATTTTCACTCACATAGAAATAATGGTGAGAATATCTTAGGCTAACATGTTTGTCATCATGACCGAATAAGATATTAAATGCACTTTGAGGCCGCTGAAAGCTGAAATTGATTTCTGTTTAGGAACTTTGAGTCATACAAAGCTACTTTAGAAGTGTCCAAGAATAAGGAAGCTTTTAAAGGTAGCATGGGTACCAGATGAAACTCGGAGGTCATGTTTCATTTGTTCTGGCAGAATTCATCTGGACTCCTTCCGGTTTACACAAATGTTCTCACAGCTCTGCCTACAGTGCACAATGCCACATGTTTTTTAAGTTGACTTTTTATATGTCTAATTATTGTAGGTCCAATAAGTATTTTGGTCTAAGGCTGTCACGGCGAGTGAGATGAGCCGTGTGGAAGAAATAAAGGAGGATCCAAACGCAGGCACTTGTAAAGGTGTGAGGGTGGTTTATTAAACACAAAATAAAAAATGGGAAAACGGCAAAAGGAACAGAAGGCTATCTAAACTGAGAACAACTAAACTAGTGAACACAAACCCAGACATGAACATGAAGGAGGATGAGCAGCGGAGAATGACGACGGACAGCAGGGAACACACACGAGTGAGACATGGTGGATACACAGACGGACCAGCAACTACAATGACAGAAGACACAACTTAAATACACACAGAGAACCACAGGGAGATTACACACAGGTGGTGGACACAGCTGGGAGTAATTAACGAGACGAGACAAGGGAGGTAAACTGAACACACTCACATGAGACGCAGACCTTCACAATAAAACAGGAAACAAGAAAACACTGCACGAAGACGCAGACACGACACTGAGACAGACTAGACACTGAACTAAACCTGCAATAAACATGAGAGCACAAAACCTACGAACGAATCCCTAAACAAGAATAACTGAAACATAGATTCATAATCATCATCATCATCATCATCATCATAATAATAAGAAAAGAATCCAAAATGCAAAAACACCAAAACATAACAACTCAAAATACTGGGTCAAACTGACCCAGAACCACGACAAAGGCTGTGGATGACACCCTTTAGAAGTCAAAACTGACCTGAGAGCTGCCACACTAATCTGCATTTGTGCATTTGTCCGGTTATACGAGGCTAGCTTAAAGGTGTTTTTCTTCAAGGTCACTTCTCAAATGTCAGTTTTAAGTTTTTCAAAGTTTATCCAACTGCATGCTTCGCCTTAGAAACTCATATATTCATGCACCATATACACTTTGCTTTACTTATAGGTCTAAGCAGAGCTACAGCAACAGCCTAAGTAGGACTGAGCAGCAACACTTGGCAGCTGGCTCCTCCTTCCCTCTGGAGCTATTTTCCTCCTTTATGCAGGTTTTATTCTCTCCACGCTATTCCGCGACCTCACCGTCTCTCTCACCCACACATACACATTCTCCATTACAGTAGTAAAATCATGTTTTATTGATTTACTAAGTGAAGAAGCCAGAGACAAGAGTGAGCATATCTAGTCTAATCCCAGCTGTTTGGGCCATGTACATTGGGCTGCTCCTTAATCTCCACAGCTGTCAAAGTCACTTCACAGAGAAGACCAAAGAGGCCCCATGATGGCTATACAATGCACAATGCTCCAATTTTTCTTTCGTCGGGTCCTCCCCGCTCAGAGTGTTTTCAATGAAGCTCTTTTAAAAGGGGATTAAACATTGCTATCTCATCTGTTGAGCTGTCATTCAGTCTGCTTTGGTCTCTCCTACGCTGCTTCCATGCAGAGGGGAGGATGAGGGATGTGAATGGTATAGGTCAAACAAGTGAGGATCCCATTTGCATTTTAAAGTTGTTTTTGAACAACAGGATGTATACACGATTATCTAAATATGAGTTAAGCACTCACTTGAGGATTTAGTTATTTACTTCTTCACTGCGACTCTAGAAAGCCATTCTTCTGTAAGAATAGAGTCTGTTTTCAATTGAAAATTTAACTCATCTTTTATAAGAAAATGTCCATAACCCTGCGTAGGTTACAGTTAATGATGGAGCAAATTAGACCCACACTAATCAAAAATGTGTTCCATTTACTCCTAAAGTACTTAGACCAGTCTTACATCTCAAAAGTGTGGATTTCCTTGTACCCACAAGTTCACTGTACATATACAATTACAATAAAGGGTCATTCTATTTTATTCTATTCTATTCCTGTTTGCTACTATGTTATACTGCTGCACACTCAAAAGTCAGCAGAACATTGTCCTGTGCAATTTCCTGGACATTTTGAGTCATTCCTCTTTCCTGTACTGTGTGTCTGATTACACGTTTTCTTTACCATTAGGATGCAGCCCTGAAGTCACGTTCCTCATGACGATGTGTGGAAAACAGAATCATTTCTAAATAGAAGATAAATCGGAAAAAAATCTAATGATTGACCAATTACTATGTTTGTGCACTCTCAAACATTTATGACAAGCATTCAAATTTTCCATTGAATTTAAAGGATTTATTTTGAAATTTAGAAGAGTGTGCTCACCTGGCTCTGCAGCTCTTATTTAAATCAGTGCATTATGCTAACAAATACACAAGTTGTTAGTAAAATGCTCTCATGATTTTACCAATGTCGGGTTGTTGGCTTCACAAACAGGCTGCAAAGGGACGAGGCAGGAACACTGACTTTTAATCATCGTTTTACATGCCATTTGTACAAATGAATAATTTGCACTGTCACTCTACCTTGGACTGCTTCCTAGAATTAAGTGTCTTTGAATAACGTCCATGGAGCTGCTAATTGAAGCCTGTATGTATGTTTGCCGTGACGGTTGTCCAGATCCGATGCGTGCATGAAAGCGCGACATTACAGACGGTGTGTCAGGTGTACACTATGTCCCGGTTCAGCCACTCGCTTTAAGCGGCTCGCCCTGGCCAGCTGAGTCCCTACTTTGTACACGTTCCCACCTGATGCTCTGACCACACCTGACTCCCTGTGACTACACATGTAGGAAATACATGAAAAAGACTGCTTTCACTCAACCCTCATTTTTTTGTATCATCATCTAATTGTTGTAAATCAAAAAATAGATAGATAATATGATTTTTGAACTTCTTCTCCTAAGCTCAGACATGGGTCTACTGGTTTACACACTAATAAGACCAATAAATTATCACTAGTTTGATCCCGGTAGGAGGCGTAAATCCCTTCGGGGCTTGTGTCAAGAAGGGCATCTGGTGCAAAAATCTGCCAAATCAAATCTGCAGGGTTACCTGCTGTGGTGAACCCTTGTGAATAAGGGAGCAGCTGAAAGTAGCTATTCTTCTTAGAAGTTGTTGAATTTGATCAAGATGAACAGCTGAATCTGTTCCTCAGCTCTGCAGACTGAATTTGCCTATGGAAATGCAAACCTGTGCACTTTTCCCTGACCGACAGCATCTCTACCAATAAAAGCAATAGCGAGGTGACAGCTTTTCATCAAGGGTTGCTACAGTGAGGAGATGCGGTGTGCTTTTAACTGGAAACAACAGAGCTGAATTCTCCCTAAAGCCACCAAAGGAAAAGCTGACGGCAGGTCTTTCCGATTCAATGCAACGAAACAAAAACAACAACAA